CTAGCATGGTGACCAATGGGAACCTCCGTGTTCAGAGGTAGTCCACCTCCAAATCCCAGTGCCAGGAGCGATGTTCCCTCTAAGCTGAGTTAGTGTGAGCTAGCGCACAGTTTTTTAGCCTCCGGGCTCACACATTTTTGTCTCAGCTCAGGGAGGATGGCTCCAGAGCTAACTAATTTAGGCAGCAGCCAAATCGCTGGCTCACAACTTTAATGCCAGGAGCTCACAAAGTAGAATTTTTGCTCACAAGACTCCACAGCTTAGAGGGAGCATCGGCCAGGAGGGAGCATCAGGGGAAAGCCTCAGCCTCTATGCCCTGTTGTTGGACCTCCAGAGGAACTGATTGGGCTACTGTGTGAGACGGGATGCTGGACTAGATAGTATCACAGAGTTGGAAGGGGCCATACAGGCCATTTAGTCCAATTCCCTGCTCAATGTAGGATCAGACCAGCCACTGCTTAAGGGCAGCCCGTGAGGGGGAGCTCACCACCTCCCTAGACAGCTGGTTCCACTGTTGCATGACTCTTACTGTAAAAAGGTTTTTCCTAATATCCAGCCCGGTACCTTCCCGCCACTAGACGAACCGCTTGTCTGATCATACAGGGCTCTTATATGTTCTTAACAGTAGTGCGAAGCAAGCAATACTATCTAATTAGGATTGGAGACATGATAATGCCACGTTTTAAATAAATAAATGACTAATGTGGATTTCTACTTTGAAAAGATTGTATATTTATTGAGTCCCTAATGAATTTGGATGCCACAATAGACCTATTAATATGGATTCTCCCTGCACAATAATACTGTCAACCGGGGGGGGGGGGGGGGGGGGGAGAGGAAATGGTAGTTCACGGTGGGAAACCCCCCCTCCCCAGCAAGTGAGCTCCCGATTCAGGTCAATTGTTAAGTTCCTCTTTGTCGTCATAGCAGCATCCATCAGTTCTCAAACCACTGTTCACACCTGCAGTTCCCCACTGTGCCAAAGCAGCCGGGCAAGGGTGTCACTTCCTTTCTGGAATGCAGTTCGGGGTTTTTACGCTGATGACAAAGGGACACAGGAAGAAAGGAAGGATGTTACTTGGGCCAGCCTGTCAGCTTGTGTTTCCCATCTGAACCACCAATCTCTGGGACCTGGCCGAAGAACCCGCTTTCCTTTCAACTCGCCTGAACATCCACCCAGGCCGAGGGGGTATCCTTTTGACCTGCCAGCCCACAACATTATATTTTGGGACTTTTGTAAGCCATTTTGGCAGCCGGGGAGCTCCAGAAACTCCGTGGCAGTGACTTTTTCTTCGGAGAGAAAGCCACAGATGTGACAACTACTGAGAGACCAGTTCTGACAGGAAGGCCGAACTGCCAGCAAACTGACCCCTGACCCGGCATCCTTACCTACGCATAATCTTATCCTTTCCCAGCGAGAACCCCCTCTTCCCTCTGCCCGTGGGAATAGCCGTGCCTTCGCAAATATTTGACCTCTTCTTGTGGGACCCAGCCTCTAGTGCCCAGCCATATGGATTAAATAAAATAAGTTTAAAATAAGCAAGTCGTCGGTGTCCGAGCTTCCTGTGTTTACAGTCTGGTGAGCGCAGCGTTGAAACCAACTGTCCCAGCTGCTTCCCATGAAGAATTGAAAGCCAGGTTGAAACTTTGGTTTCCAGATGCAACAGAAGCCGAGAATTTTTAAAGAGTACAAGGTAGAGCAGGGCTCCTCCCCAACCTTTTCCGGCCTGCGGGCACATTTGCAATTCTGATACAGCCTGGTGGGTGCAGCCACAAAATGGCCACCAGAAGAGGTGATGCCAGCCACAAAATTCTGCTGCAGCTTACCTTCAGCCACACATGAAGATCCTCGCGCCACAGTGGACACCAATGTTCCCTCTAAGCTGTGGAATCTTGTGAGCAAAAATTCCACTTTGTGAGCTGCTGGCATTAAAGTTGTGAGCGAGCCATTTGGCTACTGCATAAATTAGTTTGCTCTGGAGCCATCCCTTCCTGAGCGAAGACAAAAAGGTGTGAGCCGGAGGCTAAAAAACTGTGAGCTAGCTCACACTAATTCAGCTTAGAGGGAACACTGGTGGCCACTGCAATATTTTTTTTAAAAAAGGAACTGCACATTCATTTGTTCTTTATTACGGTCACTCGGCCAATCATATAAAACATCTACACTGAAAAATTCAGGCATACAGTAGGCCAAATAAAACAATTTAAAATTAAACTCTAGTTACAGTATAGTTTCTGAGACCCAAATATCACCAGACAGAATCTAGCTACTTGATGAGTAATCTTGGCATTCTTATCAGACAGAAGATAATCAAGTCTTAACTTTTTCAGTGAGACCAGAGAATTTGCCTAACAAAACTGCACAGACAATTGAGTCCCCAATGGCCAATCAGAAGTTTTGCTGGGCAAAAAGCCCCACTTGGCTCCATCCGCCTTCTAAAAACACGTGGCGAGCATCAGGAAACGTGTTGGTGGGTGTCATGGCGCCCATGGGCCCCGTGTTGGGGACCCCCGAGCCAGGGGGTTACAAGGAGCACCGGGGGACAGAATCACAAGCTGCAGCCGTGTGGCCCTTCTGATAAACTGCTCCGAGTTGGCTAGTAATTGCCATAGCTCTTGCTCTCCAAGTGTGAATGAGGCCCACTAGTTTATAAACAGTCCCATTACCTCTTCCGGAGGGGGGGGGTCAGCTACTTCCTTACTCCCTTTAGCAAATGATGTCCTTTGATAGCGGAATCGACACCCCTTACATCACCCCTTCCTCAAGATGCAGATGGAAGATTGGATGGTATAACATCCTTCCCCGGAGGCAGCAAGATTGATGGGGAGCATCTGTTTCACCTAGACCTTCAATCGATCTGCCCGGCCGGCCATTAACCGAATGCTTATTTAAAAGAATAACACGGTCGTATGCCCAAAGAGATGCATTTGTCATCCACTATAGCCTAAACCATCTCAATCTGTGAGATATATAGGCGTGTAATATATAGTGAGATTCTAGCGGGTTAAGAGCAACACAGTACATTTTCTGGCAGTGTATAAATAAATCTCCAAAGCCTCGATGAAGGGCACATACATCAGAATGCGCTCTGGCGAGGCCGTCCTTCTCACCTCAATAAGGCGCGCGAAGGAATTGCTGCCAGTCGATCGTGCCTGACGTGAACTGAGCAGAATTGGGTTTCTGGGAAAGTAACATTGTCATCGCAGTCGAATCCTGTTGGCATCTTCTGCACAGGTTGTAACTGCCACGAAGCCGTCAGGCTTTTTAAAGAAGGGCGATAACCAGCGTGGAGTGGCTGAGAAATTATTTGATTATCGTTCTTCGTTGGCTGCTGTCCTTTTCCGTTTGAGAGTAAGTTGCATGTCAGCGTATTTTGCAGCAGCTCGATTTCCGTAAACCAGGGGTTCCTAGCGTTTTTGAGCCTGTGGGTGTCTTCGGGCCTCCGACACAGAGTGGCGGGCACGGCGACAAAATGGCTGCTGCAGGAGGTGGAGCCAACCTCTGAATCGCTGCTATGAGAGGTGGAGCCAACCACAAAGCATCAGAGAGTGAAGTCACTCATAACTCTAGAGAGCCAGTTTGGCATAGTGGTTAAGTGTGCGGACTCTAATCTGGGAGAACCGGGTTTAATTCCCCACTCCTCCACTTGCACCTCCTGGATGACCTTGGGCAAGCCGTAGTCCTGTCTGAGCTGTTTTTGAAAAAGAGCAGTTCTCTCAGAGCTCTCTCAGCCCATCCTATGGGTGTTTGTTGTGGGGAGGGGAAGGAAAAGGAATTTGTAAGTTGTTGTGAGACTCCAAGTGAAAGGCGGGGTATAAATCCAATCTCTTCTTCTTATAAGTTCTTCAGCATTCTGGGATGCCTTTTAAAATGATCTTATTGTTAAAAAAATCTTGCATACACACAGTAAAGATGCCAATCAGATCTCCAGTGGCCAATCAGAACCTCTCCTGGGCAAAAGCCCCACCGGGTTCCAACCACTTTGTAAAAACACTCGGCGGGCGCCAGGAAAGATGTCAGCGGGTGCTATAGTGCCCACGAGCGGCACATTGGGAACCTGTGATTTGAACTGATGGGAGCTAAAGGAATGAAAAAGTGCAACTACAGAAATAAGTATTATGTTAGATATAAGTGAAATCTAAACGTTATCTTCCCGGAGTTCCTTCTCTATGGAGTGAGATTGATGGAAGGACAAAAAATAAATCACCTTTTAACCAGAAATGTATTAACCAGAACTCCTTTTCCATCTCTCTCTTTTTTTACGAGTAGGTGAATGGGATCTAAACTGTGCCACCTAATGCTCAAATATAGTGCAGTAATGTGCATTGGCATGTCATGAGCCTTATGAACGTATTGTTATAACACTCTGCAGCGCTGTGTCTTGTGTTGAAAAGCAAAAACGATGCTTCTCTGTTGCCGCTTAATAGCCACTCAGCCAACTCTGTAATCACTCTTGAATTTGTGGAGAAATTGCCAATAGACAGTCAAGTGGACCGAGACCGGCTGTGAAGCCGCTGTAGGTCACCCTCGGCTACAGTTCCCGCGTCTGGAGCTCTGTGCTTGTTTCAGGGTGTTAATGGAAAAAGATCGACTGCTAAAGATTTGTTTAGTTTCTTTCATCCATTAAAGTTTACCTGCCTTGATGGTTTGCGGGTGGCCTGACTTCGTTGCAAATTCAAACAAAATAGCCCTGGCTTCAAACAAAATAGCCCTTGCAGAAGCGTGCTTTGCGGTGTTAATCACAGCTAGCCCCTTGCCTGCCCTCAGGCATCCATCTAATGGCACCGGATACCAAGTGTGTGGTTTGTGTTCATTTAAGCCAGACTTAAGCGAGCTGAGAACTAAGCAGCCTAAGGTTTGGACTGACAATGTTGGAATCGAATGGCCTCGCCAACGAGGAGGCATTTGGTTTCGCAGGGTGGGCTTGGCTACTAGATCGCGACTGGACGAGTCGGAGTAGCATTAACGTAAAATTTGTTTCTCCGGATTCCGTTTGCAGGGAGAATGGAGAATCCAATGGCCAGTTCTTCTCCCCCGTCGCATTTCCCCGACGACGAGGGCTCGAAAGAGAGCAACGATATTGTCTCAGCTGGGTAAGCCGCTGTTCTTCCAGTCTCGAGTTAAGTCGACTGTGTGAGAGCCACTCTGGTGTAGTGGTTAAGTGCACGGACTCTAATCTGGGAGAACCGGGTTTGATTCCCCACTCCTCCACTCGCAGCTGCTGATGTGACCTAGGACAAGCCATAGTTCTGTCAGAGCTGTTCTCTCAAGAGTAGTTCTCAAAAGAGCTCTCTCAGCCTCGCCTACCTCACAGAGTGTCTGTTGTGGGAAGGGAAAGGAGTTTGTAAGCCGCTCTGAGACTCCAAGTGAAGGGCAGGGCATAATCAAATCTCCTCTCCTCCTCCTCCTCCTTCTCAGACTTGGCCCGCCCCATGCTTTCCAAAGACAGTGTCCTTGAGCAGTCCTTTTTGCCCTCTGCAGCTACTTCTTAACTTTCACCTACTTCTTACTTTGAAAGCGTGTGAGATTGCCTCTAGCATCCTTGTAGAGGACCTCTTTTAGACATGATGCTGGCTCTTCTGACATAGGAAATGATTTGCGGGTAAGTTCAGGGATTCAGTATGAAGTCTGCAGTGGGAATCGTAGATCTGTCTGAAAGATCATCCTGCGTTTGAAAGGTCTCCGTATAAAGCAGTACCCGTGTAGATTGGTTAAAACACTTAGGGCTGTTCAGCTTAGGAAAAGGGCGGGAAAGGGGAGACATGAGAGAGGTCTATAAGATCAAGCACGGTGTGGAGAGAGTGGTCAGAGAATCTTTTCTCCCTTTCCCGTAACACTAGAACCCGGGGCCATCCACTGAAGCTGACGGGTGGGAGATTCTGGACAGACACAAGGAAATACTTCTCGACACAGTGCATAGCTAAATTGTGGTGCTTGCTGCCACAGGATGTGGTGACGGCCACCAGCCTGGAAGGCTTTATAAGAGAAGAAGAAGAAGATTGGATTTATATCCCGCCTTTCACTACCCAAAGGTGTCTCAGAGCGGCTTACAAACTCCCTTCCCTTCCCCACAACAGACACCCTGTGAGGTAGGTGGGGCTGAGAGAGCTCTGACAGCAACTGCTCTTTTTCAAGGACAGCTCTTATCAGAACTACGGCTTGCCCAAGGTCATCCAGCCAGGTGCAAGTGGAGGAGTGGGGGAATCAAACCCGGTTCTCCCAGAACAAAGTCCGCGCTCCTAACCCCTACACCAAACTAAGGGAAGTGGACAAATTAATGGAGTGCGCAGCTATCAGACAGTGACTAGTCACTAGATATTTACTTCTTCCAGTCCCATGGGCAGGGTACCTCTTGATATCAGTCGCTGGGGCTGACGGGTGGGAGGGTGCTGTTGCAGTCATCCTGCTTGCGTGTTTCCTAGAGGCAGCTGGTTGGCTACTGTGTGACCAGGAAACCGGATTTGGTGGATCTTTGGTCCACTCCAGCACGGCTCCTCTCTATGTCCTCAGACGAGCCTTTTAATCTGAATCCCTAATATAGCTGCTGCACACGCTGTCTCCTAGAAATCATTCCGGCAGGACCAACATGCCGTGCTTTGATAGTCGCTTCCCGGGAATGCCTGTCACGCCATCATCGATACTCGCAGCATCGCCGAATACCCCCAAGGCGTCACAACGGGCGACCACTCGTTCACGGCAAGGCCGTCTCACAATCGCTCCTCTCCCCTTTCCAGGCTCAATCACTCGGAAGGGCCTTGCAGCGGCTCGCAGCCTCCCAACAACCCGGATTTTGCGGAGGAGGGGCTGCAAGCGCCGTTGCCTCGCAGCGAGTCGTCCGGCAAAGCCGAAAATAGCGAGCCGAGACCTGAGGAGGAGGTGAGCAGAAAACGATGGGAAGAGCAGCCCTCGTCGTCATATCCCCCTGCGTTCAGTTACCCGACTGCGCCTCGTAGCAGAGGCTCGGCTGCCGAGGTTGATTAGCATTGTTCCCCGTTCCGTTTCTCAGGAAGGCGAGGGCAGCGATGGGTACGCCGGTGACTGATGCTGCCGTCGCTCATCCCGTGGGAGGCGGGGCTGAGCGGATGATCGACGGTGGGCGGGGGCAAAAAAATCCCTCGGCAGGGCACCGTCGGAACCGCCTGGCGATCGGTTCCCCTTCCACAAGCCTATTTGGCCTGAGCCGGCATCGAAGGCAAGATACAAACACGCGAAGCTGCCTTATGCTGAATCAGACCTTCGTTCCACCAAAGTCAGTATTGTCTAGAGAGCCAGTTTGGTGTAGTGGTTAGGAACCCAGACTCTAGTCCAGGACCACCGGGTTTGATTCCCCCACTCCTCCACTCGCAGCTGCTGATGTGACCTAGGACAAGCCATAGTTCTGTCAGAGCTGTTCTCTCAAGGGCAGTCCTCGAGAGAGCTCTCTCAGCCCCACCTATCTCACAGGGGTGTCTGTTGTGGGGAGGGGAAGGGAAAGGAGATTGTAAGCGCTCTGATACTCCTTTGGGTAGCAAAGTGCAGGGTTTAAATCCAATCTCCTCTTCTTCTCCTCAGACTGGCAGCTGCTCTCCAGGGTCTCAGGCTGAGGTCTTTCAGTTCCCCTCCTACCTAATCCTTTCAACTGGAGGTGCCAGGGATTGAACTCGGGACCTTCTGCATGCCAAGCAGGTGGTCTCCCTGGGCAGTCACTGGCTCCAGCATCTCACGGCTTAACTTCTTACAATAAATGCTTTAACAGGATACCGAGTCTCACAGAGCAAAGTTTTCAGAGCCCTGACTCGAGTGATGCCGTGCTCTTCGTTTCCTGTTTCTGTAGCAGTGGCATTGTCCTTATTCAAATACCCAGCCCTAGCTCTAACGGTTGTGGCAGCAGATGACTGGGTTTAATTTTCTTAAAAATGACCCTTGGAAGTTCCGAACAACAACGTGGGCTTTAGAAAACAGGAACTCTATTCCACCACCCAATCTAGTCTCCTCCAAGCCACCTCATAGTTCTCCAACACAAATTTACCTTTGACTGTGTCTAATAGTGAGAGGCCAGCAGATTCTAATTAGAGAGAGCCAGCGTGGTGTTGTGGTCGAAGTGTCAGACTAGGATCTGGGAGACTCAGGTTCGAATCGCCACTCATGCCAAGGAAGCTGGCTGGATGACCTTGGGGTCTAGTCAAACTCTCTCGGCCTAACCTACCTCGCAGGGCCGTTGTGAGGAGAAAATGAAGAGAGGAGGACATTTGGGTCTCCGCCGGGGAGAAGGGCAGGGTATAAATGAAGTTAATAAATAAATTCGGACAAATGGGGTGACGGAGAATTTTTTGAAAGGGGCTGTGGCTCAGTGGCAGAGCATCTGCTTGGTAGGCAGAAGGTCCCAGGTTCAATCCCCGGTATCTCCAGTTAAAAGGACCAGGCAGCAGGTGATGGGAAAGACCTTGACCTGGGACCCTGGCTCAGTGGCAGAGCCTCTGCTTGGTGTGCAGAAGGTCCCAGGTTCAATCCCCAGATCTCCAGTTAAAAAGGAACAGGCAGCAGGTGATGCGAAAGACCTCAGCTTGAGAATTTGGACAGCCACTGCCAGTCTGTGTAGACAATAATGGCTTTGATGGACCGATTCCGTATAAGGCAGCTTCAGTTTTCCTGTTCAAGAGGAACACCAGTGCGAGGTCCGGACTTGACACCAGCTGTCATTCCTGAAAGCATTCCAGGCGCCGTTCTAGGTTTAAAGCAACCAGACTCTCTTCTCTCTCCTAGCAAAGAACCAAGAGAGGAGGATGGTCCAAAGGGCGAAAGAGGAAGAAAACCCCCCGGGACAGCAACGCTCCTAAGTCTCCCTTAACGGGTTATGTGCGGTTTATGAACGAGCGGCGGGAGCAGCTCCGAGCCAAGAGACCCGAAGTTCCTTTCCCAGAAATCACCAGGATGCTGGGCAATGAATGGAGTAAACTCCCTCCGGAGGAGAAACGGGTACTGCTTAATTACCTTCCCCACGTTACAGTTTCGGAGTATAGCTGTGTCGGTCTGCGGCAGAAGAGCTGGATTCGAGTCCAGCAGCACCTTAAGTTAGAGACCAATGGGATTTTCAGGGTATGAGCCTTTGAGAGTCAAAGCTCCCTTCGTCAGATATAAAGTTTTGACTCTTGAATCTTTGTTGGTGTCCGATGTGCTCCTGGACTCGAGTCTAGATCTTCCAGTCAGTCTGTTCTCCGTGCATTACCGTGCAGATAAAAAAGAAGCTTTTGGGTGTCCTAAGCAGTGGTATCCCTTTCTAAGCTCCCGTGTGAGATCAGGGCCCTGCGGGACTTATTGCAGTTCTGCAGGGCCTGCAAGACGGAGCTCTTCCGCCAGGCCTTTGGCCAAGGCAGTGGACGTCCCTCCCACCCACCCCCAGCTTCTCTGGCCCTAGCTTTTCTGCCCAGCTTTTTCCAGCCAGTTGTCCACCAGTGGCCGGATTCTGATTGGTCACCTGAGTACTGCTATAGTTACGCGGTATTTTATGATATTTTATGTGTAAATTGTTATTTGAATCTATATATCTAATAGCCAAGGCGCCCCCTGCATGCGGATATCTAAATCCACACATAGGGGGCGCCTAGGGGGCAAAGAGATTTTCCTGCACATTTGGGGCAATCCCCAGATGTGCAGAAAAATCTGAAATCTATAAAAAAAAACTACAGGGGGGGGATACGTAAATCCCCCCAAAAGTAAATGTGACCTTGGGTCAGTCACAAGCTCTGGCACAGCTGTCCTTGAAAAAGAGCAGTTTGTGTCAGAGCTCTCTCAGCCCCACCCATCTCACAGGGTGTCTGTTGTGGGAGGGGAAGGGAAAGGAGTTTGTGAGCCGCTCTGAGACTCCAAGTGAAGGGCGAGGTATAAATCCAATCTCCTCCTCCTCCTCCTCCTCCTCCTCCTCCTC